TGTATACCTTTGCCATACTCAGATGGACTCAAACTGAATTTAACGCCCTGGATAGAAAAGTTCACACCACCATGACGTCCCATAGGCTGTACTTGCCGCGGAAGCATGGTGAGCATGGCTTTTTAAGCGCATTCACCATGCATAATCACGAAGTTTGCAGCCTCCGTAACTACTTCCTGACGAGATCGGATGATCATTTTACCATTTTAAAGGGTGTGTCTCTATCCTTAGCCAATGAGCAATGGCAAGACGCGGCAGTACGCCGATTATCTCACTCTTTATTACTCTTCTAAGAACTTTACAGACTTGAGTTATCGTCTTAACTTTCTACTTAAATAATTGGCTTACTGATAACGGTCTATCATTATCAGCTACAAAGAGGAGAGTAGTAATATTCTCTAGAAAAAAAATTTGTCCCAATATTTCAATCTCAGTATAAAATCAAATAATTCCAACAACTTATAATATTAAATTTCTAGGTGTTTTTTTGGATTCTAAGATGACATGTACTCGTCATTTAATATTTATTGCCCAAAATGCGAAAAGAATGTAAATATTTTTTTTATGATAAGGGTGACAAACGAGCACACAGTCCACCTGATGGTAAGTGGTCCATAGACATCTACATCTATCCTCTATTAAAAATTGTTGCTGCGGCCCATAGACATCTACATCTATCTTCTATTACAAATCAAAATGTAGATGCGTTGTCACCCGTGAGGACTAAGATGGAATGCCTCATTTCCAGTAAAAAGGGCCTCCGGCCACCTGCACTCACCAAGCGAAACGCAGAGGCAAACCTCTACTTCACGCTGGTTTTCTGTGAGGTCGTGGTACCACTCCGGTTGGAGCCGGCCCATCCGTGCGACAGCAAAAGCTGCCGCGTGGCTCTACCACTGTTTAAATAAATAAATATCCGTCGTTAACTGACAGATGTTTGATGGGGATCTCACCCATATTGTTTAAAGCTTTTATATAACGCCCTAATCCGTAGTCATTTTGACAATGGTACATTTCTCTTGGAACCTTGTAATAAATAAGCTCTTAAGCTTTTAGATGAAATCCAACTTAAGTGCTTACGAATAATCTTGGGGGGCCATGAAATCATCTCCGTCACATGCTCTACAAGTTGAATGTAGCGAACCTCCTCTTAACCTGCGTACACAGTATCTAGGCGATCGCTTTATATATAGAATACTAGCTGACTAGGCACACGTTGTTCTGCCCTTTTCAACTAACCTTCATTTAAAAATCTTTAAATTCGCAATAAAAAGTTTTGAGGGTCATTTATCGGGATAAAAACTATCTCTCAAGTTGGACCAAACCAACACAGTGTGCAAAATTTTATTGCAATCAGTTTAGTAGTTTAGGAGTTCATCGCGGACAAACAATGTGACACGTAATTTTTATACATAAAGATTAGCTGTGCCCCGCGGTTTCAACCGCGTATATCACGTGTCTGAGCGGCGTGTAACGACATGGACACCTAGTTCAAGCATTTCAGATAGCAATGTATGGAAAAATTGGTAAAATTAATGGAGTACTTTTATGTATCGGCAAATGTACGTTATAGAGTGAAGTTAAAATGTATCCACTCTCTCTTTCCCTCCCGGTCAATTAATTTTGCAAATTTTTTAACCTAAAATACTTGAACTAACCTCGTCCATAGAAGCGTTCACTGCTCGTTACTCTCGGTTCTTATCGGGCGGCTAGGGTTTATGTATCGTTCGCGCGCCGATTCGAATGTTGAATTATTTTAATTTTTCGTTATCTCTTAAACTTTGCGCCCAAATAACATGCTATAAAGAGAAAAGATTATCTTCATAAAATTGTCTTGATGATAAAGTAATTTTCGTTTGTTTATGTCGATTAATATGCCATGCCTAATAATAACGCTCATAAATCACTTTTTAATTTTAAATATTTTCTGCCGACTTCCAAAAAGGAGACGGTACTCAATTCGACTGTATGTTTTTTCTATGTGTGTTACCTCATAACTTTGTACTGGGTGAACCGATTTCGATGATTCTTTTTTTTATTTGAAAGCTGGTACTTCTCGCGTTTTTATACTAAAGACTGTATAAGCGCTGATACAGTTCTTATAAGTAAAAAATTGGCACAAATTATACAGCTTTATGCATTAGTAGCGCTGTATTACTGCTGTTATTTGGTGTGCAAAGAAACTATTACACTACAGATATTATCTTATAAATAACATTTAGAGTAACGTTCTTAATTGGGTTTTGAACGAAATTACAAATGAATATAAAATAAAAAGAACTTTATGTTTGATGACTAGATTATATGTATATACTTTATTAAATGATGGCGACATTTAATGTCAGAGTAAAAAAATATATTTAACATATTAATATTATACTTGGATTGGAGTTGAGTTTGAATTTGAGAATTGAAAGTGCAAAATTAAATTTACAGTAAACTTGTATATATTTTCTATAAAAAAATTGCCGCACCAGCAAAATAACCAAATAATATAAGGACAAAATACTAAACACGTTAACTAAATATCGCTTACCTAAACTATCAGTTATCGCTAAGTTTGATTGATATCTCAGCAGAAATAGATAAGAGGGTGGTGCGTACCTAAACTAACTCCTAGGATGAAATTCGTACCACCTTTTAGGTAGTATTTTTACCCAAATGTCAAACCCTTACCAACTTTCATTCGGTATACCTTGTTAACTGACAGAAGTGGCTTATTTTTCATACACTGGAAATCGGTATGATACTTTTCTCCTTGGACCACGACTCCAGCGTTCGAGTTATCGTACACATCAATTACTGTGTATGTAAATAATTGCGTTCAATTGTTTTGAGACTACTAACAAAGTTTTCTTGCTTTCTTTCAAACTAATATACATAAAGAAAATATTAAACTTAAGAACATAAAAAAAAACATTAGTTCAACTCTAACAGTAACTGATCAAACTGGTATTTTTGATACTTAAGCAAGTATTATCTTTATATATAGTTTTGTTATTTTCATACTTTAGTGTATTTGTTCAAGCTGTGGTTGTCTGATAATAGAATTACAATTACAATTATCTTAGAACTACATATACCTTTTTGTTTTATGGGTTCTAAAATGGCGACATTTTGCTAAACAGCCTAAACGGTATTTCGAGTGTCTTATACTCTTAGTAGCTGTACTATGTATGTTATGGATTCTATCATACAACCATTGGTTCTTAAGCAGTTGTATAATAGAATATTTTTATAACTTACGCTGTATAGCAGTTTTTTCTTCAACATAACATAATTCTCTTTAGAGATACGTAAAAAAGATGAAAAACCTTGTCTTGGGAACTGTGTTGGATAACTTTTATTTAGATTTAACATGATAGAAGATCACCGCACCAAATCTTTTTATTTTTCTGCCGACTTCCAAAAAGGAGACGGTACTCAATTCGACTGTATGTTTTTTTTATGTGTGTTACCTCATAACTTTTTACTGGGTGAACCGATTTCGGTGATTCTTTTTTTTATTTGAAAGCTGGTGGTTCTATATGAATTTGATTAAGGTCAGACCAATAGTTTTTGAGTTATTTGAGTTAATCTTAATAACTTATATGGAAGTCGGCTGTACAAAATTTTAAAATTTAAATTATTCCACATATTGATAACAAATTAAATTTGTACACTAGCACAATATAAATACGCAATGCATGCAAAATGGTGATATTCTATCACTTATACAGATTTAAATTGTACTATAGCTGTTATTTTTATTAGTTTTATATCACGCTTATAGACAGAAGTCATAAACTACTGTTTTTACAAGAGTGAAAAGTGACGCAATAAAAATTAGTTTTAAAAGGGAGTTTGCATACACCCTTGTTCAGAAATAGGTTTTGAGTGATACTATAATAACACTTAGAGCTGTAATAAGTAAGTGACAGCATGCAAAAAACGGCTTCTATAAATACAGCTTTAATGATAAAATTCAAGTGTTACAAAATACTTATTTAAAGGATAAGTAAGTCCGTTTACGTGGACTTCGTCACATCTATGCCTGTTTAAGTTGAGTACCTACGAATTTTTCTATTTTGCGCACCAATATGGCCCTTTTCATAGATGGACACCCCAATTATCAAATAGCTGACATTTGGCTTGTTCAGCCTACTCACCATCACTAAATACAATAATGTAAAGCATTGTGCGCTATTGTACCCATATTTGTTAACAATAGGCCGGCTCCGTATTGACATCTGGTGGGTCTTCAATTCACAACGACAAACCAACTAGATACACAACCGTACACGTATATTTTATTTTTAGAAGTTGCATCATCACATCATTAATAAAAAGTTCAATTTCGCTTGACGTTGCTCAATATCACAACATGACAACGATTTATTTAAAACTAAACCATAAATTGAGAGGTATAAAATACAATTTAGTTTTATTAGGGCGATTTAAATTGTTAGAAAAAGTAGCAGGACGCTAAATATCTCCCAATTGCCACTTGTGACATAATCGCACCGCTGCCGAGGGGTGATAGCCATTTGCACTTTTTGTGTATTTTGCCAGTTGGCGCAAACATAATGTAATTTGTTGACAAGTATATTTGGCTTTAGCTAAATGATAGAAATACTACGTGGGATGTCACGAGCAGCGCAGTAATTAAATATGTAACAGACAAGCCGCGTGCGCAAACATCGTTTCTTTCTTTCTAAATATTAATATTCAATATTGAAATCAATCATAAAGGCGGCTTTGTTTTAATATAATTAACATTAACTCTTATCGCTGCTTTGTAAATGTATTTATAGTGACCTCTCGTACGGAGTCGGTTATTGCTTCAGTTTATTTTACGTTAGTACTAGCTCACTTCACTACGGAACCGTGTGCACTCGTCTCGTCGACCTTCGTTGTCCGTCTATGATTTAAAGCACTACATGTGAAATCAAACATCAGTGTAATTTGAGACGCGGTCAAACAATTGACTATTAGCGGCAAGTGTTACAAACGGATATATTATGGCGACAGTTAACGGTGTCACTAATGAAATTAAGGCTTCAGCCTTGGACCTAATCGGTGAAACTCCAATCGTTGCTCTCGATAGACTTTATACAGGGCCGGGTCGTATTTTGGCAAAATGTGAATTCATGAATCCCGGTGCATCAATCAAATGCAGGTCATCACTGCACATGATACGAAAAGCGCTGGAGAATGGAGACTTAAAACCTGGAGCTCCAGTATTAGAGGTAACATCAGGTAACCAAGGCTGTGGTCTGGCAATCGTCTGTGCAGTACTAGGTCATCCTTTAACTCTCACCATGTCTAAAGGAAACAGTGTACAGAGAGCAATACATATGGAAGCTCTCGGTGCGAAATGTGTGAGGGTGCCACAAGTGGAGGGAACTTACGGTAACGTTACCCTTGCTGATGTGAAAGCGGCTGAAGCGGAAGGTTTGAGGTTAGTGGACGAAATAGGAGCATACTATGTAAACCAGTTTAATAATGAGGCGAACGCTGAAGCGCATTACGAAACAACTGGACCTGAGATTTGGAGACAAACCGGCCATCACGTTGACGCTTTCGTTGCAACCGTAGGCACAGCTGGTACGTTCACAGGTACATCGAGATATTTAAAAGAAAAGAATCCAAAATTACTATCATTTGTAGTGGAACCATCAGGTTCTGAGCCTATCAAAGGAAAGGAGATTACAAAGCCCTTGCATTTACTACAAGGATCGGGTTACGGTTGTGTACCTAACCTTTTTAAATTTGAATATATGGATGGAACAATCAGCGTCACGGATGAAGAAACTGTTAAATATAAGAATCTCATAGGAGAGAAGGAAGGATTGTACGTTGGATATACGAGTGGTGCTAACGTTGCTGCAGCAGTTAAACTTTTACAATCAGGGAAGTTACCAGAAGGTGCGTGGGTTGTAACCACACTAAATGACAGTGGCTTAAAATACACACCAGCTTCAGAAGATTGTATATAGATAATAATTGAAACCATTATTGTTTAACCTATTTTAATTAACACTAGTAACTAATCGTTGTATATTATTGCGTTATCAGAGAGATGTACGGTGTGCTATCCTTTTATTATTCGTTTTAATTAATAAAATGTTTCTTAATTTAAAAAGTATTTAATAAATTATTATCTACGAGAAATTAATTTTATGTTTATATGTTAAAGATAAAAGAAACTATTTTATTTTTATATTTAGTAATTTAAGGAGCAAATTGCTTCAAAATACAAACGTGATCGTACATAAATAAAAAGATAATATTTTATGTAATATATTTTTTTCTGCTAAGGTCTGATCGAATCCTAAATTCAGATAAAACTGTAAGGGAGATCTGAGTCGTTAGGCAAATTAAAATGTTTGATAATTCAAAAATGTTAGGTCTTGATTTTTTTACAGCAATCCAACTAATGCACTGTCCCACACCTGCCTGATCCTGTCTCGAAATCTGAATATGTGACTTTACTTATTTTAAAATTGTGTGATGCCACACCATTTAATTACTTCAGTGCAACCTTATCTGAGTTACACTCCAATAAGTATAGCTTTTATCAAAGTTCCTTTACCGATACTTGTATTATTTTTATTTGAGAACCGTTTTAGGAGCAGTAATGGGATATTATATATGTACCGCAGATTAAAAAAATCAACTGTACGTATGTATCGAATGTTGTATCAAAAGTACAAAAAACATCCTCCTTTTCATCTGCCTGCATTAGTTGACTTTTCACTCTTAATTATTCTTTCATTTACATTTTGGCGTGATTGCCACTCTTGCCAATTGCCAATGAAGTTATTGAGTTTATCTGTCAAAAAATTGTCAGTGGTAACCCGGAGTCAGTAAGTTGGCGATGATTCTGGTTCGTTGGTTCCGCTCGTGATCTCTCTCCGGTCGTGTCGAATTGCTGCCTCACTGGATTATAACAGGGAGGGAATAGAGAGTGCACCTGTGTTTGCGCACACACTCGATCACTATTAGGGTCGCCACACACATAAGGAATTCCGTTTCGGAATTCCGTTTCGATATTCCGATTCGAGATTCCGAACGCAGCAAGTTCATATAAAATCTATGACCCGTCACACACATCCGGTATTTTTCCGTTCGAAATTTTGCGGCAAAACGGGATTCCGTATGTGTGTGGCCGACCCTTTCGGAATTCCGAAACGGAATCCCGAAACGGAATTCCGTATGTATGTGGCGGGCCAATCCTGTCCTGCGCAGATGGTTAGTCTCCGTTCAGGCCGGCCGCCGCGCCGGCCTGAAATTAGGTCTGGAGTACATTATTATATTATTACGGTACCTAATTAAGAATTTACGGATGCCTAACTTAATTTTATTAAAAATATAGTTAAAATAAATGTCACTTCGAGCGCAAGTCTCGACAAATACATCAGTAACATAAATAGCATTGCTGTTTTATCTAAAAAATAAATATTTGAGACAATATTTATTTTTTACCTTCCTACTGGATACCTTCGTTATAGATTAACAATGATGTAGCTACAAAGAGTACAATGGTAACTTTAATGGAAAAACAAGCCTTGAAGTACTAGTACATTTTATCCAATACACAAAAATTTATGTTTGTTTATTCGTATTTTATGCGCTGCCATGCCGTTCATAAGATTGCTGTAAAACTTTCTCAATTTACTGCTTGCACTTGTGAAGGTTAAGGTGATAACCTTCACCTTAACCTTAGACATAGGACAAATAACTTACAATATGTGGCGCGCGTATCATACCGACTATATCATTCAACTCCAATGAATGTATTATGATTCCTAATTAAAAAATACAACTCTTCCAAATTTAAAACGATATTTCCAGCTAGTCTGATATAATTTTTACAAGAAAAAAAAATACTACGATGACAGTGTTCTTACCATTACCATTACAGCCTATCCAAATTCCACTGCTGACCATAGGCCTACACATAGTTTGCCTTATAGGGGGGATTTTGTCATAGTTGTAATGTTACTGTTTATTTAATAATTTCACCTCTCAGTGGGTCATGTGCTCCTTGTAGATTATCTTTTATACATCCATCCATTACATCCTATTAAAGTCCACTGCTGAACATAGGTTTCCCCCATAGTTTGCCTTATAGGGAGGATTTACCAGAGTCACTACGCTCGGCAAGCGGGTTGGTAAGCGTGGATTTTTATTTTTTCTGCTACTGTTAGGTAGATAGATACTGCTGCCCATCTCCTGGTTCAGTTTGTCTCTGTCGTCTTTTATTACACCAACATAATGTAATGGGGTAGTGAATATTCTTACACCGCTACTACACGGTTAACAGTGCTCATGTGTGGATAAAATTATGGCATACTTTATTGTATTCATCATCATCATTACAGTCCTTCATAAGTCCACTGCTGAACATAGGCCTCCCCCAAGGAATGCCATAAAGCACGGTCCTGAGCCACCTGCATCCATCGACTTCCTGCACATCTCACCAGGTCGTCATTCCATCTAGTGGGGGGACGCTCAACACTTCGCCTGCCGGTACGAGGCTGCCACTCGAGAACCTTTTTTCCCCATCGGTTGTCGGTTCTTCGAGCTATATGGCCGGCCCATTGCCACTTCAGCTTACTAATCCGTTAGGCTATGTCGGGCACTCTGGTTCTACTGCGGATATCTTCATTTTTGAGTTTATCACGCTGAGAAATTTCGAGCATAGCCCTCTCCATAGCTCGCTGAGCGACCTTGAGCTTCCTCATACGGCCAGCAGTGAAGGACCACGTCTCAGTTCGGTATGTCATCACTGGCAACACACACTGGTTGTACAGTCTCGTTTTCAAGTTTTGAGGTATACCTGACGAAAAGATGTGCCGTAATTTACTGAACGCTGCCCAACCGAGTTGAATCCGTCGATTGACCTCTCGGTCGAAGCTGGACTTACCTAGTCGGACTATTTGTCCCAGGTAAACATACTCGTCAACAACTTCGAGCTTAGTGCTCCCAACAACTACCGGCATAGGTGTAACATGGACATTAAACATGATCTTTGTTTTGTCCATGTTCATCTTAAGACCTATCCGTTGGGAAGCACTATTGAGGTCATTGAGCATTGTGCTTAGGTCTTCCAGCGATTCTGCCATAAGGACTATATCGTCGGCAAATCGAAGGTGAGTGATGCATCTTCCAATGCAGCGGTGAAGAGTTTCGGGGAACACCTCTCTGCAATTGGATAGGTTTCGTACTCTGGTTCTGTACTCGGATAGCCATCGTAGTCCTACTGTACAAGCACTTCAGCACTTCGATATACCGACAGTCAATTTGGCACCGCTGAAGGGACTGCATCACCGCCCAAATTTCGACGGAATCAAAGGCTTTCTCATAGTCCACATACGCCAGACATAGTGGCAAATTGTACTCCTCTGACTTCTGTACAATTTGCCGAAGGGTATGTATGTGGTCTGTGGTGCTAGAGTCTTTTCGGAAACCGGCTTATTCGGGAGGCTGGAAGTCGTCAAGTCTGCGCGCGAGACGATTCGTAATGACTCTCGAAAACAGCACGTAGACGCGGCTCAGAAGGGAAATCGGTCTGTAGTTCTTCAAGAGAGCGTTGTCGCCTTTCTTGAAGAACAAGACCACCGCACTTCTGCTCCACGCCTCCAGTGTAATGCCATCATGGAGGACGGAATTAAAGAGCTTCTGAAGGACTTCAAGTACCGGTTTTCCACCCGCTTTCAGAAGCTCCGCTGTAATTCCATCCTCGCCTGGGGTCTTGCCGTTTTTAAGGTGCTGGAGAGCCATTCTAATCTCGCTCAGACTGACGTCCGGGATATCATCGGAATAATGTCGGATAAGACTCGCTCTTGGATCGTTACTCACACTTGCGTGTGGCTCCAACGATGACGTGTACAGCTGCCCATAGAAACTCTCAATCTTTCTCAAATTCTCAGGTGCCCCGGAAACGATGCTGTCACATTCTGTATTCAGCTTTGACAGTTGGCTCTTTCTGGCAGACTTTGGAGCCTTGGTTCCGCTCGATCGTTTCTTCAATACGAGCTGTATTGAAGTTGCGTAAGACCCGCCGTATACATTTGGAGATCTGTCTGTTCAGTTGCCTGTATGCTGTCAAATCTGTTGAAGAATGTAGCTTCATCTCCCGTCTAACAACCATGAGATTAAGAGTGTGATTGGAGAGTTTTTGTGTTCTTCTGCGGTGGGTCTTGCAGAACTTAGCTCCGACCGCATGGACAGTTTCTACGAGCTTGTCATTCATATCGTCCTCTTCATTGCAGTCTTCTAGGCACTGAAAACGGTTTTGTAACTCGAGCTGAAAGGATTCGGGACTTTGGATTAGAGCACGAGGGGGACGAAGCGTTGACTTCATTAGACGAGACCTCTCCAACTTAACGTTTAGGTTCAGTGTGCCTCTAACCATTCGGTGATCGCTGCCGGTTTTCACCCTCGCGATCACATCACTGAACAGTTGTCGTCTGGTCGTCATAATGAAGTCAATCTCATTTTTTGTCGAACCGTCGGGGCTCGACCAGGTCCACTTCCTGTGGGGCCGCTTCTGGAAGAAAGAGTTCATCATAAAGAGTCCCTCTTTCTCCGTGAAGTCGGCCAGCTGCTGGCCTTGGGTTCCGTTGCCCTATTCTAAATTTCCCTACTTTCAGCTCACCATTCTCTCTTGTGCCCTAGTTTTGCATTGAAGTCTCCCATTAACAACGTATATTGGGTTTTGGAGGAATGCATGGCTCTAGAGATATCCTCATACATTTCCTCCATCTCCTCATCGGGGTGTGCCGGGGTTGGTGCGTAAACCTGTATGACCTTCAGCGAATACCGTTTGGTGATTCTAAGTATAAGTTACGCAACCCTCGTCGACACACTCTCAATCTTTACAACGTTGTTAACGAGAGACTTGTGGACGATAAATCCGACACCTCCTTGGGACAGATAGTCGCCCTCCCGGTGATAGAGCAAGTTGCCGGATTCGAGAATTACTATGTCC